GCCCAGGTTACGAAGCATCTCAATACTTCTGTGATTAAAAGGACAATTTAGTGTTTTTACACCAGGAGAATGATCAGACCCCATCATGCATCACGTAGCTAATGACCATAAGTAGAAGGCCTGGCTGCAGGGCATCAGACATCCCGCCACCCACACACTGAGATAGATGGAGGGAAGCTGTTTTCTATCATGTTTGGCACACGGAGTTTGAACTCCTGGTTTCCTGCAAACAGTTTCCATATAATCCCAGAAAAACTGGTAATTTCATCAAAGTTATATGATGTTCTCCCGTTTCAGTGTTTGGTGCCAGATGGGTGAAATGGAAACAGAGAAAGGTTTACACTTATTAGATAATGAAATCATGTATGAGCCACAATAAGTCACTATATTTGACATATGTGACTGAATTGTTACCTGTTATTTTCAGGTATTAATTCAGTTAAAAGCACATGACTGAAGCGTGCTGTAGTCCTGACTCAGGTCGTCAAAGGTTTCCAGGAAATTTGCATAGAAATAAACACGTTAAAAAAAGACCACATGTCCAACAGTGACATGGCCTAAAAGGCTGCTGAAGTTAGTTTTTCACAAACATGATTATCCTCTGCAGTCCTGTGCAAAACTACCTGCACCATAACTCAACACTGCATCAGTCAGCAGCAGGAAATGAAGTGGTGATTTCCTGCTGCTGACTTCTTTGGTCTCTGACGTCGTCGCTGAGGAACTTTGGCCACTCCACTCGTTCACGCACAGCATCTCAGTCAGGTTGACGTCTGCACTCTGACAGCAGCTCGATTCAGCTCTTCTGTCAGAGTTCTGCTGCCGTGCTTGGATCGTTGTCCTGTTGATGACCCTGTCTGAGCTTTAGCTCACGTTTGACTCCAGACGACTTTGGGGAACAGAGGTCCGGGCAAATGGCCCAAATGATTGTCCTTCCTCCACCGTGCTGAGCGCTGGTATGAGGTGCTGCTCTGCATTGTGGACATCATCTCCACTTTGGTCTCGTCTGTCCAAAGGACATTAATCCAATCATGAAAAGCTAAGCTGTGCTGCCAAATAAGCCACACCCACTCGGTGCTTTTCAGGTCAGCAGGTCTCTGTGCATGACGTCCTCTCAGAAACAATCACATCCTTATTTCTGGCTGCAAATACACATTCATGGTCAAACAGTCTCTAAACTGCAGCTCACTTTTACATATTTGCACGTCCTGCTGTTGCTCTGTCCTGCAAACATCACTTTAAACAGTCTAACGCTTCAAACTGAAACACCTTGAACTCATTTGCACAAACTTGCACGCTCGGCTGTTACAAGCGAGCAAATGATGAACAGCTTCATCAGACAAAGCTACGCTACTGCGCCCCCTACAGGCGGTTACATCAGAGGAGCGGACCGAGGACGTTGTTGCTATGTTGTAGTTTATTTTCGTCCACGATGATATGATTGTGTTTCTGTTGCTAACACTGTCGCTAACGACACTCACTGTCAGCGCTTTAAGGTTCCTGTGAGGGAAGCAAATAAAAGTGCTCATATGTGGTTTGAGGAGAATCAGCAGGAAATGCAGCACATGATTAAAGCAGGAGATGAGGTGTTAGTGTCTTCCACATGGGCTCCGACTGCCAAGCGCATCCGGCTGCGATGGAACGAGTTTGGCTTTAAACGAAAAGCCAAAATGAGCGGAGGGAAAGCAGACGAAATGAAAAAGGAAATCCATCAGCCGGCCGTCCTCCTGCTGCTCTGCTGCAAACATCAGCCCGACATTAACTGATACATATTTACTATTATTCTTTTTCACAGGAGAGGCAGATTCGGTGTTTCTATATTTAGTGAATGGTTTTTAAACTCTTTGTCAACAGAATGAAGCTTGGTGAAAGTCCCTGCCCTGCCTGGAGGGTCGTGGTGGGCTGAGCAGCCACTCTGGGGCGAGTCCAGGTTTGATTCTGTTACGTGTCCTCCATCTTTCTTTTCTACTGTCAATCTGTCCTGTCATAATTAAAGCCATCAGGATCCATGAGGATATTTTTTAAACCAAATAAATTTTTAGATGACTCATCATACCTCTGCAATGCCCGAGGTTTAAAGAGAAAGTGCAGATGTGTTGTTGCTTTGATCTGAAAACACACATCTCTGTGCCGTGTCCCGGCTCAGACTCACTCAGTCTGACGCATTCACGACTGATTTTTGCTGTTTTAGAGAGAAAACCTCCAAAAGTCCTATGAGCAAGATCTTGGTGACGGCGGGAGGAAGAACTCCAACAGAACCAGGATCAGGCAGTTTTTATTAAAGCCATTCAAAGGCACCTGTGAGAAATATTAGCATCTTATGAAGTTCAAACATGTAAAATTAGTTGCTTAGCAACACTGCTAATGATTTTTTTAAATCATAAAACTTCACAAAACTGAGTATTTGCTTCATGGTGTCGTGTATTAATAACACTGAATACAGAGCGTGTTGTAGAGCAGGCTGATGAGTTTATGCATGAAGGTGGATGCTGGGTGTTTAAAGACAGTGAGTGGTTACTGGTGATGCGTCGGCCGCGAACGAAACGGCTCTTAGAGCCGGGTCTTTGACGTGAGCGACGCGAGCCGGCTCCTTATCGCGAGCCATGTTTTTTTTTTTTTTCCTTTCTCTCAGCCTCTCTCGCACTTTTTCCCGCCTTGTGCTTTAGAGGCAGAGGGGGGAGGGGCGGTAGTTACACTCAGTAGCACAGGAACAGAGCGGGAGGGAGAGAGAGAGTTGCAGATGATAAAGGATTCAGAAAGTTTATTCATGCAGGTCCATATGACAGAGAATGTGCATCTTCTTTTTGTTTTCACATTATAATTTATATTTAATTGTGTTGTGGTTTGCAGTGTTTTGTGTTGTTTCACTTTAAATTTGTTTAAAAGCTGAAAATTTAAATAGTTAAAAGTTGAAATGTAAATAGTTGGTTTTTGTATCATATGATTTATTTATTACATTTTATGTGGAGTGAATAAATAAAAGTATATTTACGGTGGCTGCTACAGACAAAACACATAATAACTCAAAACACGTATAAAACACAACAGAAGTGCTCCAGGATGCTAGGGGGCAGTGTTGAGCTTTTGTTACCTCGTGGCTACACAAGCCAGCAAGTACCAACGACCGGATTTGGTGTGTGGTAGTAACAGGTAAATGAACTTTTTTTAAATTATTTGAATATATATGAGTGCTTGTGTGTCAATACACAAACAATACACACATGCTTTCATGCTTTCAATTGTGTAATTTAAGTGATCTAGTAGCTGTTTTGGAAGTTCAGTTAACGCTAGAAATGTTTTTTGGAGTTTGTACGTGTTTTGTCTCTAGGGGCCACCACATATATTTATATATAAACATATATGAATAAAACCACTGTTTTTTTACATTAGTAATTCCTTTTGTGCATAATTTTATATTATTGTTAATAATTAATTAATTAAAGCAACAAAACAACCTGAAGAGCCGGTTCTCTATAAAGAAATCCCATCACTAGTGGTTACTTTACAGGTGGACGTGGGACCACCAGAGTCCACACAGCGCTGATCGGTCCAAACCCGGCAGGATCCTGACACTCCAACAAATTTATGTCCCCATCACTTTCCAAATCAAACCCACTCTAGTAACCACGGTTACTGATGTTTATTAAATATTAGCTGGAAAAGGACATAAACAGCAGATCGATCTAAATCTCCAGGCACATTCAGCTCCCCTGTCACGAGGGGTCACTGCAGTGGGTAGCTTTCCTCCACATCCACCTACTGACATGACCCCAAAGCAGAGCTCTGTCTCCACCTGGAAAGTGAACCAGCAACCGAGCGGATGTGTGAACCTCCACCTCCCAAACCTTTGAGTGGTAGCTAAAATGACCCCCCGAAGAAAAAACTATTGTAGGTTACATTTCTTTGTTTAATTGACTTTGAAATTTCAAAATTGTGACTTTCGCCGCCATCTGGAGACGCTGAGTTTCACTTCCAGTCACGGAAACATGAAAGCGGCGCTTTGGTCTCAAACCTGCGCTCAGCGGACGGAGTCACTGAAGTTTAACGCCATAAAATCTGCAGTAATTTAGTGTTTATGGAGCCCAGAGATCTCCTCTGGCACTGCAGCCCAACCTCACAGATCATTCTTACAGGCGTTTGTCATGGAAGTGACAGACTGTTCGTGTCCTTCAAAATAAAAGACCAACACACCCCCATCACTTACACTTTGGATATCCTCTAAGGTTTGCAGACTGTGATTGCTGTTATGACTGCGGTCACATAAAGCAGGATTTTTATGGTGTGTGTCAAATGTTTGAAGTTCATTTTGAGCTCAGCAGTTTTGTGCTTCAGGCTGTGAACGCTGCTCACAACGACGCACCGCAGTTTGATATTTCTACCTGCAGACCTCTTTGGAAACTTCACTGAGGATCTTGTAAAGAAACGTGTGTCCTCCACACTGCTCCACCCTCTCTACATGACCTGGTGAAGGTCCTGGATAAGGGGACAGTGAGGACTGTGGATCTGTTATGTGAATTATGGAAATATGTGCGTGAGCCGAACAGGTTTTTACTGGACTGTCTCCGTGTGGTTCCACAGTGTGAGAGAAAAACAGCAGCTGGCTTCACATTTTATTCATTTTATTAAAATTATTCGGTTTTAAATGGGGCCTTTCTGCTTTTCCATACTGGAAACACTTTGGTCTGAGTCATAGCACAACACGTATATTACTGTATGTGTTGTATATGCAGTTAATGGTGGATGCTTCTGTCTAACATGGCAGAGTTTCAGATCAACACAACACGTCAAACGTCTCACAGGAGAAAGTGGGCCCCTCTCCGGGAACAACACACGTTTCTTTAAGAATGAAACTTCTGATTTTTCCCCTTTTTTGCTGCTTTCAGTTAAACTGATAAATTCAGTTCAGGTGATCTGATGCTGGAGTCTGTGCACGTCTGCCAAAGAACCACTGAGGAGGTAGAGAAGTGAAACTCAAAGACTTTAAAGCTTAACCTGCCGCGTACCTGGCTGCTGAAGGTGATGTAGTAGGTCTCATACTGGACAGGAGGCGGAGTCCAAACCAAAGCGACTGACGTGTCTGTGATGTCCTGAGTGCTCAGCCGGGAAACACCAGACATGACTGAAAGAGAGAAACACAGACTTAGCTGCACAATGAGACTCAGGCTAACACCACCGTGTGCGTTTGTCTCCACGTGTTTGTGTGGCAAAAACTCAACATTCCTGCTTTAGCGGACGCCGCGCTATGCTGACCTCATGTTATAGGACAGAGGCGAAGCAGCTAGCAGCACAACAACAAACACGACCTCTTCACCTGGTAGATGACCTGGCTTCATCCACCAACACCATGGCATCTGGGAAGGAGGCCCTACAGCAGCTCCACCCTGTCCCAGTGGCTGGAGCGGGCCAGCCTACCACGCTCAGCCCTCTCCACCTTTACATGACCACCACTGAAAGTGGAGCACAGCAGACTGCCAATCGACAGAACATGCTATCAACTGTTTAAGACAAGTGCACGTTTACTGAGCAAATATGCAATTAAGTTTATTTATACAGCAACAAATCACAACAGCAGTCGCCTCAAGGCGCTTTATATTGTACAGTGGACCCTACACTATTAGATACAGAGAACAACAAGCATATGAGCCCCTATGAGCAGCACTTTGGCGACAGTGGGAAGGAAAAATTCCCTTTGAACAGGAAGAAACCTCCAGCAGAACCAGGCTCAGGGAGGGGCGGGGCCATCTGCTGTGATTGGTTGGGGTGAGAGAAGGAATATAATCCAGGAGTGACCTTTCAAGCTCTTCCACTCATCAGGTGACAACAAACATGATGATAATAATAATAATAATAATAATAATAATGGCTGTATTCAGTGACTTGCAGATGGATCACACACAGACGAACATCATCGGCGCCACAGTTTCGTCACCTCATCACAAACGTTCCTGTCCATGCTCCGTGCAGTCGACACTGGTGAATAACCCTGCAGGTCTTCTTCCTCCTCGTTTTCTCTCTCCTGTGATTGATGCAGTGGAACAAGCAAAGTGTTTGTCCTGCAGCAGGAGGCTTTTTCTCCTCCATCTTACCCAAACCAAAGTGATGCATTTATCAGAGTTTGGCATCAGCCTTAATGAAACCTTAAACCATCTGCTCCCTGGCACCACAACAACAGGACAAACCATTCGATCTGATGTGCAGGTTGAAAATGACAGTGCTCCAGTGATGAGGGGTGGTTTTCTCATTAAGGCTCATATCCAGGTCCGTGATTTCCGAGCCACAGCATGAGCTCAGATGAGGAAGAAGAGGCAGATTTCAGTCTTTGAGGGGAAAATTGAAAAGCAGCGGGAGCTGGCTGAGACCGATCGAGGAATCTTCTGGTGACCACAAACAGGACTCAGTGATGTGGAAGTGAAAGAAGCTGCTGGCCAACACATTCACTGTAAGTTTACTGAGGCGATAATACATCAGAAAAGCTCTTTATTTGCTTATGCACTCTAATGTAGCTTACATTAATATTCCTGTGTGCTTAATGCAACCCACAGCAGTGCTGTGTGTCCACTGGAACACTGGAAAACATCAGCTTACCTTTACAGGTGCACACTATTTTTACTGTACTGTTACAGTACTGTATAGAAGTAATCATCACATGTATGTAACCTCTGCACCACAGCTGTGTTGGCTCTGTTTCAAATACAGCAGCTGAATTTTCATTTGCTTCAGTTGTTTGTTCTTCTTTGTTCTTTAATGAAAAGAAAGTAAAAATACAAAGAAGCTTATCTTATCCACCTTCTGCTGCTCTTCTCCCATCAGTGTTCTTTAGTCAGCTCATGAGAACAGCCCGACGGACTCGGCAATGACCCCGCCTCTCCTGCCACTGCTGCGTCTGGATTTACTTTATTTCCTCCCAGAGGGAACGTCGTGACTTTATTTCAAACTTCCTCTGGGATGGTTTAAACCGCTCACACCGCAGCAGCACGGCACAAACACAGCCGCAGTAAACAGACCAACACCTCCGGCTCACGGAGGCCGCCTCCATCAGCCTCCATCAGCCTCCAACAGTCAAACTGGAAGATCCGCTGCTCATGGAAGGCAGCTACTCAAGTTCAGCGTGCGTGTTACATATGTAAAGAAGCATTATTTGGCTGAGCGCCTTCACAATAAAAGCTTCCCCATTCTGCAACATTATTCCATCAAACAGTTTCTTTTGCACATAAACGTCATCAGACTGATAAATATTTCTCCGTTTGATCCCATCTGCTTTGTGTCTGCGTCTATCAGACTGTGGCCTTGGTGGTTTATTCGCTGCTTTACGTCAACTCTCACTGTTCTGTTTTGTGTGATGGTTCCTTTAAGCTTTATCGATTTCAGCTGCCACAACGTTTTGATGTTTGTTGGGTTTGTGTGTCAACAACTGATTAAAGTTATAGCCAACGGCCATCATGTGGAAGGCACATCAACACAAACATGCATTTAAAGACACAAAAACTAAAATAAACATTTATCAGAACAAAATGTGCACGTCTGAGTGTTTTCAATCAAACACTTTAAAGAAACCTAGACGTGCCTTTTTAGGTTTGCCTCTTATAGCGTCCAATCTCATTGTTAAGTTTGCCGATGACACTACAGTGCTCGGACTTATATCCAACAACGATGAGACAAACTATAGGACAGAGGTGCAACAACTAGAGTCATGGTGCCACGACAATAACTTGGTCTTAAACACCAAAAAGACCAAGGAGATCATTGTAGATTTCCGGAAGAAGGGTCATAACAACCATCTGCCTCTCTTCATTGGCAGTGAGGCGGTGGAGAGGGTGAGCAGTTTTAAATTCTTGGGGGTAACTGTGACCGAGGACCTGTCCTGGGGCAACCATATCACCTCAGTTGCACGGAAGGCCCAACAGCGCCTCTACTACCTGAGGAGACTGCGGAGCGCACACATTCCCAGATCTCTGATGTTGAACTTCTACAACTGTGCCATCAGCAGCGTTCTGACGTATGGATTTCTAGTGTGGTTCCCCAGCTGCACCAAGGCCGATCAGCAAGCACTCCAGCGGGTGGTGAAAGAAGCTGGCAGAATTATTGGAACAAGTCTGCCAGAGATCAGTAATATCTTCCCCACTCGCTGTCTGAGGAGGGTGCACAGTATCCTGCGGGACCAACATCACCCTGCGCGCCACCTTTTCCATCTGCTGCCCTCAGGGAGAAGGTACAGGTCTATACAGGCCAGAACATCCACACTGGCCAACAGCCTGTATCCACAGGCTGTGAGGCTCCTGAACTCTCTGCCCCCCTCTCACGGACAATAACCATATCCAACTTCTTAATAGCAATGAACTGGTCTGCATTGGTGCATCATATCTTTATTCTCTTCCCCCTCCTGCCCCCCCCCTTTTTTTTAATAGATAACTATCATATCTGATATCATATCTCACAGTACAATAATATTGAATGGGTTGCATTGTTGTACTTTGTCATGTTTCTCAGGTCTTTGTCTGAATTTCTACCAACATTACTTGTCATGTTCTCATGTTATTGCTAAGGATTGTCTTATTGCATTGGAGTCACACTGGGTTAAATATGTACACTTGGGTTTTAAGGGGTATTTATTATTTTCTTCTTTTTTTGGGTTGTATGGAAGCCCCAAACGCAATTTCATTGTTCTTGACAATGACAATAAATAAATACTACTACTATCTGTAGTTACTTTTATTTTATTTAATAACTGTACAGTTCTCTGTTTATAGGAACCACTGTCCTCGATGTAAATATGTAAGAAAAATGTTTCTGTCCTGTTTGTTTGTATATGTGTCTTTCTGGCTGCTGTTACAACCAAATTTCCCCTTGTGGGACAATTAAAGGATTATTCTATTCTATTCTGTTCTATTCTATTCTGTTCTATTCTATTCTGTTCTATTCTATGTTCAGGCAGACATTTCAGTTGTTTTCTCTGAGAGCACTTTGTCTCACACTGGGCCAGTAATGGCATCAACATGATGAAGCTGTGACTGTCTTTTCAGTACTTAGCATGTCCCACTGCTATGACTGCTTAACAACAGTGGAGAATAATGAACATATGATATTTGGAGGAAGCAGCAAGTCGCTGTCAAGAACCTGCACTTTGTTTTTACAGCTGGTAATATGTCAGTGCAGCGATTAGAGCACGCTGTAGGTGTTACAGGTACTGTGGCAGCTGGGGCGCCAAAATAATACCATAAAATAACAGAAAAGAACTTCCTCATGAAAATACGGTTAATTTCAGTAATGACAATAAAGTTTGTTGCCCTAATTTTACATGGGATTCTGCCTTTTTCAAATGCTTTTAAACATTAATTTAGGAACATTTTAATGTGATTAAACAATGAAATTACCTATAAAAAGGTAAATGAATGCGGCAATATGAATCATAATACTTAAATGTACAGAAATATACAGTTAACAGTTGGTTTAAATAATAATGGATTGCATTCATATAGCGTTTTTGAGACCCTCAAAGCGCTTTACAATTCCCCTCTGACCACCACCACTAGGTGAAGTGTCTCGCCCAAGGACACAACGACCGAAACTGTCCAAGCCGGGGCTCGATCCGGCAACCTTCTGATTACAAGGCGAACTGCAAACTCTTGAGCCACGATCGCCCTAAATAACAATAATAATAATTATTACTATTTGATGTAACAAAAGTTTATAAGAATCATTTTATATATTTTTCTGTAGCATCACATTTGAATTTAATAAGAGATAAGATAGAACTTTATTAATCCCTCGGGTGGGTTCCTCTGGGAAATTTGACTTCCAATAAAGCACAGCTTTGTTCAATCTTTCAAATAACGGACAAATATTTGTGAAATCATGATACCTTTGTGAATTATTTTAACAATCTACATATGCATATGTACAGACAGATACATTTAAAAAACAAGAAAATTATGTTTTATTACATTTACAGTGATTTTACGTTAATTTACATT